ATAAAAAAAATACGATTTTTGTAAAAAAATTCTTTTTTATATTTTTAACTTTATAATGCTATAACTTTTTGAAAGATGTATGGATCAATATAATTTTTTTTTTATAGATGCATGATGTCTTTACCTATCATTTGGTATATATTTTTTTTATATCTGACCCTTTACCTGCCCAAAGGGGGGGATTTAAAATGACAACTTTTTCACAAAAAATTTACTTTTTCAACTTAAATTTTGAAAGTGTTCCAGAAAGTCTGACACTTTTATATATATCTTAAATTAAAGCTAATGTATTATACTTTATTATGGTAAAAAAAAATTTCGGACTTTATTTTATCTTCACGGTGAAAATGGCTATCAAATGCTATTATTATGTGAAAATTCTCGATTTTATTTTTTACATTTTTAACTTTATAATGCTATGACATATTTAAAAGTGTATGGATCAACATTATTTTTTTATAAGAAATTTTCGGTCTTTTGCCTTTTCTTCTGCATTCCTTGCTCCCGGCATCTTGAGCTCTTCTTAAATTTTATCTGTTTATCTTTGAGACTTAGCGTTTGGTTTCCATGCAGTTATTTATTCTGGCCAAGCCCATTCGCAAGCTTTTCAATGTCCCAACAATATTGGGTTCGTTATATAGTTATTTTAAGTTTTTATTACTTCGCATGTCATATTCGCCTTCATTGTTTCTCTTTGGGCCGAATATTTTCCTCAATAACTTTCTTTTAAACACTTCTAGCTTTTTTTCATCAAGTGAATGTATAGTAAATGAAAATAAAAATGGGATTTTTAAATATTTTGTTTTTGTAACTTAATCTAAACTATTTAAATTAGGTCTTTTGAAATAAAAATAATTGAAAAGATTATTGCATAAAATAGGTATTGTTAAAAATTAGATATTATCTTATATCACCTTAAGTAAAACAGTAATTTAAAATTTTATTTTCTCAGAAATATTACTCCTGTTTAGACTTTCGTTTCTTTAATTTTTAATAGATTAAGCAACAAAAGCGGACATTTTAAGAAAAATTTGAGATAAAATTAAAACAAAATCTAACTATTTGAACATTTTATTTTTAAATAATAAATACAATGCGTTAAAATGTGGTAGTTTGTAGAAAGGCAGCTGATAGTTCCGGCGTTTTTAAAATGACATCGTGGGAGTTTGAAACGCCTATTGTGTGAGCAGCTTAGATTTCTAAATATATTATTATATTCACTTCGTGATCTAAAGGCTGTTTGTTTAACTATTAACCGCGCTATATCTTTAAAAATATAATCCTTTCTTTTAAGAAGTCAACTTAATTATCAACCTTAGCGTTTTAAACGGACACTTTATTTTTCACAAGCTTACAATTAAGAAATTTATTTAACTAAAGAACTGACTGATCATAAGATACTTTAGTGCCGGCATAATAATTATAAAAGATATTTACAGTTTTATACTATGGCGGTAATAGTATGAGAAGTGAATGGCCTAAAAATAAAAATAAACAGACACGCGCTGTCTTTCGTCATTAAAAGTGGCGTAGATACGATTATTTTCTGGAGGAGGTTTATTTCATATTACATTTTTGACTAATTAATATTTAAAGATGTATTTTTTTATTTAAAATTAATTGATAATATTATTAACAAAATGTAAAAAAATAATAGTAGAAAATAATTTTAAATCGTACCTCTACTTTATTTATAAATAATTTTTTTTTTTTGGTTCTAGGGGTGTTTAAACCCNCTCTACTTTATTTATAAATAATTTTTTTTTTTTGGTTCTAGGGGTGTTTAAACCCCCTAAACCCCCCTGTAACTACGCCACTGGTCGTTAGGATACTATTAACTTCAAAAAAGAAATAGTTACACACCGTACAATATTTGGAAAAGTATATCGTGAGAAATAGTTCAATAATCATTTTGTATTTAAATTTTCTTTTTTTTAATATATTGTATATATTGAAAAAAATGTATAGTGAAATTTGTGATCATAATGTTAACTACAATAATTATAATTATCATGATACTGATATCACTAATTGATAACACAATTCCTGGTTACTCACATACCAAGTAATTCTATAATGGTTAAAACCAAGTAACAGTAAAAAAAAAATACAATACTGTTCAAAATGTATTATGGTTATACAGAATCACTATTTGCCTAAATCATAACAACATTGTCTTATTCGTGATACAATTATTGAAATTTACTGATATAAGCTACTTCAATGATAAATAATTGCTTTTATTCGGTTAATGTTAGTTTAGTGTCTTATTTTACTAATCACGCATTAAATTATAATGTTAAATATGCCGACATCAATAATTATAATATTTAAAAGCATTTTAAAGTGATTTTTTTTGTAATATAATGTTTAAAATTATGTATGACATTCAGTTGATTTTTCTGTCTATGATTAATTCATTTTGTAATAAAAGCTTTATAAGGAATATTATAAATGATCATAATTATAATATCCTATACATTATGTGTGATTTATAATGTGTTATTCAATTTGATGACTAATTATAGTATTAATTCGAAATTAATGAGTTAAACGTTGAACAAAATTTTGTTTGTATGGTAAGAATAATTCCTCATTAAAATATTACAGTTGTATCAACATTTTATTCATAGAATAATTTTATGATTAGATATATTTTATGAATTACCTATGACGTATAATGATAGAAGGTGTGTCAAGACGAGCCTTAGCAGGATCAAGTGGTACATACAACGTCCGAGCTACTGAGTTAGCTGTAGATCGAGGACGTTTAAAGTCAATTAATGCTACAGTAGTCTTTTTAGATGATTCACAACACTGTTTTAAACTTGATGTTAGTATATAAATGTAGCATCATAAAATCATAAGCTTTTGCTTTTTAAGTATATTTATTATTTATAACATTTTTTAATATTTATATTTGTAGAAAAGAGCTAAAGGCCAAGCTTTATTAGAAGCAGTGTTTCAACATTTAGAGTTAATAGAAAAAGATTATTTTGGCTTACAATTTACAGATAATGGCCTTATTCCTTCTGTAGCAAATGCTGATTTACTGGTACTATCATTTTTTAAATATTTTTGTATAACAAAGATTATTAGAATAGTTAATATTGTAATATTTATATTTTAGAGATGGCTCAATCCAAACAAGAGTGTAAAAAAACAAATGAGAGGTAAATTTTTATTATTTTAAAGAATTTTTATTATGATAATTCCTATTTATGACAGAAAACAGTAAAGAAATTATGAAGCCATTGATTAGGATCAAGTACTTAAAAACTAAAGTATAAAATTTTATTTTTAATGGTCATGACGAATAATATTGCAAACAATACCTGAAATTTATGTTTTACATATTGTCCGAGACTATATGTATATATTATAAGTCATTTTTTACAGAATAATTTGCAAGAAAAATGAGAAAATTTTTTGCATTTTTTTTTTTATTTCTCTGAGAAAAATTGAGATCAATTGTGTAGAATAAATGTAGAAAGTTTAGCCAAATTTATAATATAATATATGTTATTAAATATAATTTTGATTATTCTTAAGCAACAGGGTACAAATTTGTTTTAGGTTACTAAAATTACACATCAACATAAATTTTATTCCCTTGGAATGAGAGCAATTAAGTAAAAAGTAGGATCTAACATCTATGAAACCGATGTTATATATGCTGTTGAAATTCCATACCCGAATTTTCGGTAGAGATTTTTAGAAGTAATATTAGACAAAGATCATTAAAATCCATCAATTATTTTAGAACTTATTCTTTTTTTGTTAAATTTAAGTTTAGATGACAATTGTCAGGAAGACTTTAAAATTAATAAAAAAAATTTTAAAAAACGATAGCAAAGTGGGGTCGTGGCACAGTGTGAGAGTGGGACTAGTATAAATGATATCTGACAATGATTAAAATCACTATCATTAGAAAGGCTTCAATGCAAATCTGTAGATAGTGTTTAATTTTAAGAAATTGGTGGATTAATCAAAAGTAATTCTAACTCTAAAAGAATTATGGAAATTATTTCAACGGGCAATGATTTTTACTGAATCGGATAACGTTTGTCGCATTCATTTTTTGATAAAATTGGCAATTTAAACTGATTCAAATGTTAAAATTAATTTTATTAACTTCAAAGAAAAAAAAATTGAAATATGTTTAACATTATATTCTATGTTAATTAGATTTATATAATATTCATGAAAATCAGTGTATCTCCTTATAAGGTATTTTAAAATAACTTAAAATACAATACCAAGAATTTTAACACAAAAATAGTATTTTTTTTAACTACGGCAACCATTTGCACATAGAAGATATATTGTCGGGATAAATTTTTTTTTTTTGAACTTATAGTACATAATATAAGCTTTAATTTGAGATATATTTGAAGCTTAGAGTATTTCTAGAACATTTTCAAAAGTTAAGTTGAAAAAGTTCTACTTTTTACTCATATTTTTAAACATTTAAAATCCCTTGTATTAAACGACATGGTCTGATTTACAAAAAAAATTTGTTGGATGATAAATATATAATTTATTTAGAAACAAAAATTTGTATTGATCCATACATTTTTCAAAAAGTTATAATAATTTAAATTTTAACACCAAAATTTCATATTTTTTATCTACGGCAACCATTTTTACATAGAAGATAAGTGGCCGGGACAAATATTTTTTTCAACTTACAATGCATAAAATTATCTTAATTTTAACATATATTTGAAGTTCGGAGTATTCCCGGAACATTTTCAAAACTTAAGTTGAAAAAGTTAAATTTTTGTGCAGAAGTTCCAATTTTGAATTCTCCCTTGTGGTAGTTAAAGGGTCAAATGTTCACAAAAATGTAAGAGCTGAGAAAAAGTGGTAACAGATACAAAAAAAAAACACATCATAGTATCGACCACACTGTGTTGATGTTTTTTTATAATTTCTCCGTAAAAATAATAATAATAAACAAATATTTGTTAAAATAATTCAATGAAAATAAATAAATATTATACAAAATATAATTAGTAAATAAATGATTCAATTTAATAATTGAATGCTATGAAACTACTTTTTATTTCAGCATCAAAGATGTTATAAATCAAGAGAATAATATTGCCACTTGTTACATATTATGTAACGGACAATAACCTTATTGACTTATTTTTTAATTATTAATTTATTTTATATTTACTCATATGTTTTTAAGACAATAATATCAGAAATATCTAATAACTGGTGTTTTATTATATAGGTGGTCTTTTTTATTTTCGAGTTAAATTTTATGTGTCTGATCCAAGTAAACTTCAAGAAGAATACACTAGATATCACTTGTATTTACAACTACGCAAAGATATTTTACAAGGAAAACTTCTTGTTCCACCTAGTATTGCATGTTTACTTGCAAGCTACACAGTACAATGTAATTATTAACACATTAATTAATTAAATATTTATACCAGTTTTTAATCATAACTATTTGAAAAATTTAATTTAAGATAATTTTAGAGGATGATTTTTATATCTAACAGGGGAGGTCACGGTGATGGGGTCACCGATTTTCATAAAATTTATATAGATCTAATCTATATTGAATACAGAATCAGACGTATTTGGAATTTTTTGCCAATGCCCCCCTAAGTAGAGAAAATTGAATTTGAAAATTTTTAACTAGCTTAAATAGGGTCATTTTTCTTCCAAACAACAATTTGTGTTATGGTCCAGTCGACAGTACGTGATCCTCTAATACGTACAGGCTCGGGATCGAGTCTCTCTCACAACCTTATGAAATTTTTTGCTTTTTTTTTCACTGTTTTCTCTTTGAATTATTCATTTTATGTAATATTTGAAAATTTTTTTATAATAATAAATGAAATATATTTTTTATATTAACCTGGTAAGAGTATATAAATTATAAAGGAGAGAGATTTTTGAAAGGTTTAACGTTAAGTGCAAGGTTTTGCGTGGAGTTCATATTTTATGAATTTTTTTGAAAATTACAATAGATTAAATTAAAATATATAATGATATTATATATATTTAATTCCTCATTATCATCTCTTTATAAATATACTTTTACCTGGTTAATAGTAAAAATATATTTTATTTTAATTATTAAATAAATGTATGTTTGTTATATGACAAAAAGTCATAGTCAATTGAATAAATAATAATTTATAATTTTTTTTTTATTATTATTAATTTTGATTATTAAAAATAATAATTTAAGAGTTTTAAATACACGTAAATATTAATCAATAAATATAATTCAATTCAAATGAATAAATTTTATTCAATGAAAAAAAAAAAATGATTAACTTTACTCCTTCATAAAATATGAACTCCACG